ATCCAAGGATCCTCTAAATCCATCCAGGGATCCTCTACATCCATCCAGGGATGTTCTAAAGCCACCCAGGGATCCCTAAAACCATCCAGGGATCTCTAAATCCACGCAGGGATCCCTAAAAACATCTGGGGATCCTCTAAAGCCATCCAAAGATCCCTAAATCCAACCTGGAGCGGGGAATTGATCTCCGATCCCTTTCCACAATTCCCAACTGATCTCTCCCACCAAACCCCCCCCTCCCAGCATTCCAAAGACACTGGAGATGGGCAGAGCAGGAGCAGAAGAACTTCCCAACCTTGGGTCAACAGAAGAGCCTGAAAAAACTTGGAGTGGCTGAAAAAACCCGGGAGCGAAGGCGCCGGAGCCGAAATTCAAGACGTGACCCAATTTTTTTTCCCTTCCAAAACTGCTTCACCTCAAGGACCACGTGAAGGTCCTGGTGCCAAGGGTGGCTGCATTTCTTCTCCACCAAGACCCTTTCAAACCTTCTTCGCCACAAAATCCCTGAGCTCTGTTTTTTCAAAGGGACACAATTTCATACCAGGGAAAATTGCCAAGGGATCATCCCAGGAAGCAGGAGAATCCAACTGCTGGAGACCCAGCCCAGCTGAGCTCCCCAAACACCTCGTGTCCCAGAATCCTCAGGTTGGAAGGGACCCCTGGAGATCATCCATCCAACCCCCTGGAGAGCAGGGTCACCTCCAGCAGATCCCACAGGAACCAGCTGGGCTGGGAATGTCTCCAGAGCAGGAGACTCCACAGCCTCTCTGGGCAGCCTGGCCCAGGGCTCTGCCACCCTCCCAGGAAACAACTTCCTCCTCCTGGGGAGCTGCAACTTCCCATGTTCCAGCTGGTGCCCATGGCCCCTTGTCCTGGCCCTGGGCACTGCTGAGAAGAGCCTGGTCCCCCCCTCCTGCCCCCCTGGAGATCTGGAGCAGCCTTGAGGAGACCCCCCCTCAGGCTCCTCCTCTCCAGCTCCACAGCCCCAGCTCCCTCAGCCTTTCCTCACGGGCCAGATGCTCCAGTCCCCTCAGCCCCTTGGTGGCCTTTGCTGTCCCCTCTCCAGCAGCTCCTTGTCCTTCTGGGGAGCCCAGCCCTGGACCCTCTTCTCCAGATGGGCCCTCACCACAGGGGCAGGAGAACCTCCCTACCCTCCTGCCCACACTCTCCTTGGTGCCCCCCAGGAGCCCAGGGGCCCTCTTGGGCACCAGGGCTTGTTTTCACCTCATGGTCACCCTGTTGTCCCCCAGGACCCCCAGGTCCTTGTCCCCAGAGCTGCTCCCCAGCAGGTCCCCCCACCCTGTGCTGCTCCCTGGGGTTGTTCCTCCTTGGGTGCAGCTCTTGCACCTGCCCTGGTTGAACCTCATGAGGTTCCTCTCTGCCCAACCCTCTCACTGGCACCAACCACCCTCCAGAGGCTGAAGACTTTGGAGCTCTGCTGATGGGGTGGGATCAGCTGAGACCATTTGGGAAGGACACTTCACACTCCCCCCCATGGCCTACGGAAGACAAGGAGCTCCCTGGAACGGGTCCAGCTGGGCTGAGCATTGCCAGGCTGGGGCAGCACCAGTGGCCAAGGTCTCCTTCCCTCCAGCCCCACGATTCGTGGCACTTTGGGGATTTCCCTGATGGCAACATCGCTCCTAAACACGGCACTTCCCAAGTGACAAAGCCCAAATGTCCAAAGCACCATGTCCCCATGGTGGGGTGGGACCACCTCATCCACTACCCTGCCCTGCCCTTTCCTCCAGGTTCCACAGAAGGACAATGACTCTTTCCTCCAGCCTCAGATGCCACAGGACACAGAGTGACCACAATGGGGAGGAACAAACCAACCCAAGGTCCAACCAACTCAACCCTCCCCTATGAACAACCCCCCCCGTCACGCTCCACTCAGCCCACGGTTTGGGGTGACCAAAAGGCTTCTTGGGGGACACTCACCATCTCTGTAGGGCTGCAGGGCCTCATCTCCCCAGGATGGGGGGAAAGGGGACAGAGGAGATCGTGGGATGCTGCCCTCGGATATGGGGGTGACGCTCTTGCGGGGCGTGAAGCCATGAGGGTCCCGGCCCGGGGAGGGGGGCTGGGCCCCCAGGGCTGCCTGCAGCAGTGGGTGCTCGGCCGAGTTGGCCAACAGCTCCTTCAGGATGTTGATGGGTGAGATGGTGAGTTCCCAATTGGTGATGCCAAAGTCTCTCAGGTGGGCCCTGGCGTGGCTGGAGAGCCCGGCCCGTGTGTCGAAGCCGGCCCCGCAGAACTCGCAGCGCATCAGGCTGAAGGTGCTGGGGTCAAAGTTTGCAACTGTGGAGAGAAGGGGCAAGGAGAAGGGCAGAGAGTCACCACCACCCCCACCAAGACCATGACTGGGGCCAGGGAAGGGGGATGTGAGGGGGTGTTGCAACCAAGACAACCACACGGTTGCGCCGCGGCCACCAGGGTTCAGGTTGACCCCGGTCTCATACGTACCCAAGGGCTGGTGGGAGGAGAAAAGCCCACCAGGTGAAAGGAGGGAATAGAAACACAGTGAATTGAATACATACTACCTTTTTTCTTCTTCTTTTGGAAGGAAAATTTTTGCTCAATGGCTTTCACTTCTTCTGCTGAGATGAAGTGCCGGACGTTGTAGCTCACCCCCACCCTGTTGAGGTGGCCCCGCACGTGGTTCGCCAACCCGATCCCGTTGTGGAACCTGTCTGGGCAGTAGGGACATTTCCTCTCCTCATTCTTCAGCATGGGTGAGTCAGAGTCCAAGAGGTCATCAAGCTCCAGAGGACCCTCCAGAGGAGAATCCAGCAGGAGCATATCCAAGGGAAGGTGCTCTTCCACCAGGAATTCCCGAGGAGGGAGCATCGTTTTCCTCTTGAACGCCTTGGCCCGAGGCCGCTTGGTCGCCTTGGGGTGCAGGTTCACCTTCTCCAGGAGGACAATGGGGACCATCTTCCGCAGCTGCTGCTGCTGCTCCTCCCCAGGTCTTGGAGAGGG